ACTCCCAGTCCCTCTCCACAGAGCTGCTCTCCAGCAGGTCAGCCCCAGCCTGTCCTGGTGCCTGGGGTTGTTCCTCCCCAGGTGCAGGACCCTGCCCTTGCCCTTGTTGAACTTCAAGCTAATTTACCGTGGCTCGTTGGTTGAAGCAAGGTCATTCTCTCAGTTCAGGAGACTTACTGTGAGCTTGATTATCTTTTGCATTGGATTGTTTTGTGTTGATTTCAGGGAACATTTTACTCTGTATTTCCTGGAAATAACCTTCTCAATAGATTTTTAATCAGTGAATTACGAGCATTTCATTAAAATCCTGAGTATATCCTTATTTTTTAAATATTGTTGATGCTTGTTTCGTTTAGAAATTCTTTGAAAATCTCAATCCTATGGGGAAGATACCAGAAAAAGAGTTTACAGATTATCTGTTCAACAAGTCATTGGAAATTGAACCCCGAAACTGCAAGCAACCACCTAGATTTGTAAGTCTTGTCCTGCAAATTAAAGAGCTAAAATCCGTTACCTGCTATGAAAAAGAGTACGTAGTTAACTCCGTAAGCCATACCCATTTCCTTCAGAATTCTCTATCATGAGATGATTTTAAAATAATTTCTCAGGTGTTTGTCGCTGCTAAAATGTACTACCTTTGGCTTATTTTAGATTGAAACATTTTTTTCGCAAAACCTAATATATTAAAGTTTAAATCTGGGTTCCTCAGCACATAGGCATTTGATGTAATAACATTTTTCATTTCACAGTATCAAAAATATTCATTGAAATAGGGATCTTACGCATAATTGACATGTTAAGTTTTCTTTAATGAGAATTTGATTTCTGTTTTTCTTGTCTAAACGTTTTGCTTTGTTGCACAAATGGAAGTACACCACAGAACTGAGAAGGTGCAGCCTCCTCACTGGACACAACATAATTCGATTTAAAGGGGTGGCAATCTTGTTGTTTAAGAAAATAGCTACTGGAGCCCAGAGCTTTCAGCAGAAAGATTGCTCTCTAGAACGCTGGGGTTTTCATCCGTTGTAATTGTATTTCTGAGTAGCTGGAGACATCTCTGCGTGTTGAGAGCGCTATAAATCATCTTAGCAATCTCCTGGCAGAGGAATGAGCAAGATGGCATTGCAAACATGGCAAGAAAACAACAGAAATCGCTGTTGCAAAAACACTGCTTGCAGTAATTTCTTCAAAATATTTTCTAAAAATAGATATCCGTGCTGCCAGTCTCAGTCATCTGGGCATGAATTCTTTGCGGTCCGTGTCTTCCAAACTAGACATCCCTACTGGAATTTTGGGAAGGTCCAGGTCTGGGTGCTGTGACGTGGTGGAGTCATGCATAGCACCCTGGGAGGGGAACGTAATTCGTCTTCGAAGGACGGGCTTTGGGCTGTGCTGTGTTGCACCCGAGCCTAGCGAGGCTCGGTTCAGCCGCACCGGCGACGCGTGCGTAAGAATTTCACCCTGGCTGACCCTGAGGCCGGAGGCAGCGTGCGTCTGCCTGCGTCCCTGACCTTGGACGCGTGTAGGGGCCTGGTGACCTTCCGCGGTGCCAGCCCGACGCGTGTCTGACGGTGCCGTTACGAGGCTCGCTCTCCCTCAGGGCTGTGACTTGCTCTGCCCAGGGTTTCGCCCGCATGGGCATGCATCTGAAACTTGACTCTTCATAGCTATGAAAAAAACTTTAAAATTGCTGAACTGGGGAAAAAAGAGATGTATTAAGCTGCATCCATAGCTTTTCAGTAAACTCCTGCTGTATAGATAGCAACGGACTGCACCTCGAGTCAGTTGTAGAAAGGCTGTACCACTTTTTAAAGTGTATTTGATAATGACTTTCAGAAATACCTCCTAGAGACTTGGCAATTTTACCATCTGAAATGCTCGCAGCACTGACCAGCTTTACTTTCTCCAGCCTAGAAAAACAACGTACCCCCTGAAATCTCCCGGGATAAGGCCCAACACTGGCAGACACGGCTCCACCTCTGGCACCATGAGAAGTCATCCGCTGCCGCTTGAAAAGGAACCCAGTAAGATAAGCTTCAGCAGAATTACGGAGGCAGAGCACGAATCGGCAGTGTCGGCGCCGACTTCGCCGAACACACCGTCTACGCCGCCAGTGTCTGCTTCTTCGGAGTTCAGCGTGTTTTTAGACATCGATCTCAACAGTTCTTATGGTAAATGTGCCGTATGCTTTAAGAATTGTTGATACTGACCCTCAGGCTTCCGAACTGTTGGTGTGTGTGCCGGCCTTTTAAAAAAAAAAACAACAATCTTTAGTTGGGGCCTATGAAGCTCTTGTGTCGGTGTTACGTGTACCGCAGTTTGGAAATCCCTGCGGTAAGCAGTGGAATAACAAGTGATGTTTCCAGTCCTTGTGCGTCCTGGAGCTGAGGCAATCTGTTAGGGGAGATGTCCCGTAACGAGGGGCTCTGCCCGCTTCACCACGTGTGGCGCATCCCCAGAGAGCAGTGGTGCTGAGGACCTGGCATTCGCTCCGAAATGCTGTCTCGATTAAACAAATGACACCATTAGTGCAGCCGCACTGATGGGCTCCCAAGCTTTGCTTTGAGCACCTCCGTCGTCTTGAAAGCAGCGTGGGAGAGGCCGTGGCTCTGCTCGAAGGGGGCTGCAGACGTGGCAGGGGGGGGGAAGCTAGTGGGGGGCGTAAATAACAATTTTTACATGGCAAATGTTGAGGGTGTTTGGGCTGCAGGGGAAGTGAACGATGATGTGGTAGTGTCAGAACAGAGTAGAATAATCACAGAATCACAGGATGTTTGGGGTTGGCAGGGCCCTCTGTGGGTCACCCACCCCAACCCCCTGCCGAAGCAGGGTCACCCAGAGCAGGCTGCACAGGACCTTGTCCAGGCGGGGCTCGGGGCCCTCGTGGGGCCCCCCCCCCCACCCCCCTGCCGAAGCAGGGTCACCCACAGCAGGCTGCACAGCACCGCGTCCAGGCAGGTCTTGAATATCTCCAGAGAAGGAGACTCCACAGCCTCCCTGGGCAGCCTGGGCCAGGGCTCCGTCACCCTCAGAGGGAAGAAGTTCTTCCTCATCTTCAGCTGGAGCTTCCTCTGCTTCAGTTTGTGCCCGTTGCCCCTTGTCCTGTCGCTGGGCACCACTGGAAAGAGTCTGGCCCCATCCTCCTGACACCCACCCTGCAGATATTTAGAGGCATTTATTAGGTCCCCAATGAATGAAGTTGAATTCCCTGTATAACTTAAAAATCTCTAGTTCAAGAATATTTTACACAGGCAGGTTTAATTCATGGTAGCAGCAGATAAACTTGGAGATTGTGGTGATCTTTGAGGTCATTCTCAGGCCGATGTTATGTGCTGTAGTGCAGTTGTTCTGTCTGCAGAGCCTTTAATGGATTTTTTCATTTAACAGGTAACAACAGCATCTTCGCTCCCGTCAGTCTGCCACAGTCGAGTGAGTACCGGAACTCTGTTAAATGTTTCGTTCAGCTCTGCCTTTCCTGGTTTCAGGAGAGCTGAGTGGGAATTAAAATCTGAAATCTGGGATGAAAATGTGGGCTGCGCTCATCAGAGTTCTGAGAGGGTTTTTTGTACAGGTTTTAGATCAGGTGTCCAGTGAAGAATGTAAAGTCTGAGAACTGTCTGGTTTAGTTTCATTTTGGTTTTTGTTTTTTTTTCTTTTTCCCCAACCTCTAGCGTGATTTTGCGTCTGTTTTGAATGTCCTTGATGATTATTTTGTTTGACTAATGCTACAGCTGAAGCATCTTGATAATTTTGTATTATCACTCGGTGAAAATAATGGTTCTGCTGCTGGGAAGGAAGAGGTACTTGTTGTACCGGAGCTGTGAGGGACGTCCTGTATTCATCTGTGTTTTCAGCTTCTCTTTTTACCCTCTGATGACAGAGGCACATACATTTTTTTCGTAGTATGATTAAAATTTCAAACTGGCGAGGTGCCTGACGGATTGAGACAGAGCTCTGTGCACTGCTGCGAGAAGAAGCAGGGGTGTGAGCGCAGTCACAAACACAGGTCGGGGGGTTGTGTTGGGTCTTAACTTGGAGGGGTTCCCCCCCGCCTTGTAAAAAGGAAGGACTAGAAATGTCCGAAAGCGCTGTAAGAGTAATCACCTGTTCTGTTCAGTGTGTAGTTCTCCTGCTGTAGGAGTGTTGCAGACCCGTGAACGAAGCCTCTAAATTGCTGAATTTGAACGGGTATCCAAATGGCAGAGAGAACAAACTTCCACTCCAAAGCGGAACGGAGGCGTGCGGGCCAGGCACTGTGGTACACGGGGGTAAATTCAGCAGTGCAGCGAGGACTGCAGGGAAGGTTACTGAAGTGCTCACTGGGAGTTCACTTCATTTATATTTCTGTCCTTTGGCATCGCCTGTTAACTATCGATGCATATCTTTGCTACTGGAAATAGGAGACCACTTCGTGAGGAGCACATCTGATGGAGGAAAGGAATGAGAATTTCATACAGCTGACGTTAATGGTTCAGGTTGCGGCTGAGCACAAAGATCTGCTTATTGGAGTTGCTGCTAGTTCGGCTTAATATTCTAGAATATGTTCCTCACGTGTTGTGCAGGCAGTTACAGATCTGCTTTCCTCTCTCCAGAGACTTTCTTCAGCTCGTGGGGTAGCTTTCCTAAACTGAGCGATGAGCCTCAGAACCCTCCTCCGCTTCCTCCGCGAAAGAAGGTGGATCAGGATGCTTCTAATGCCAAGGTATTTCTGTCCTGTGTTGAATAACGTGCGTGATAAACCAGGGAACACCTGGCCCAGCAGACTTTGGGAGTCTAAAACACTGCCGAATGCAGCGCTCCAGTTGCCCTCGGGAAGTTTGGGGTTCCTGGTGTCCATGCTAGGAACATCGCGGCCGTATTCGGATCGAAGGTTTCCGACAGCAGCGGTGGCAGGAGTCAGTTCTGCGTCTGTCGGAAGGTCACAGAATCACAGGATGTTCGGGGTTGGCAGGGCCCTCTGTGGGTCACCCAGCCCAACCCCCTGCCCAAGCAGGGTCACCCAGAGCAGGCTGCACAGCACCGCGTCCAGGCGGGGCTGGAATATCTCCAGAGAAGGAGACTCCACAGCCTCCCTGGGCAGCCTGGGCCAGGGCTCCGTCACCCTCAGAGGGAAGAAGTTCTTCCTCATCTTCAGATGGAAAAAGTTATGCTCCCTTTCTAAACACCTATGTTTCTTACATCTTTGCAATGTTGCAGGGGAGTCTCAAGTCGGAGGACG